AGTAATATGTGGCATATATATCCACATATATTCTTGTGTATCTCGCGAGTTTTTATTAAACAAATCAGAGTAGAAGATACACAAGACAATACGCAGCAATAGAATAGCTCATTGATACTATATTGTATACAGGGTGGGGCAAAAGTCCCGCTACCATTTTGATATTTGATATTGATTGCGATATGTGACGTATAGCTCAGTTTAGCTTTAACCGTTGTGTTGTGTAGACGTCCAAATTTTATATGGTACCGGGACTTTTGCCCCTCCCTGTATAATGAGCCTTCCCTGTACTACAGATTTCGTGGCTCCATTTATGGAAAATGATAAACATAGTCTTTCGGAATCTCTGTTTTTTATCACTAAAAAAATAATTTTAATTAACATTATTTTTTTCTCAGTGTATTAATTTTTAATGTATAATTTGCATTACTCTAATTTATTTCAAAGTTGCATTAAAAATTCTCTAGCCTTAGCTGGAATTTTGTACAAAAATACGTGAAAAATTGAAATATTCTTAGGAAATTTTTTTTATAAGATTTCAGTAAATACCTTGATGTTCCCTTCTCTCTTTTCTCGGTTTCGATGCACGAAGATACACACGGCGCATAACGCACGTAATGCACGTTATTCGATATATAGAGACGATACTTCTTTTCACGTAGCTTTATCGTAATGTAATAATCTTTCCTGGAGATCACGTAGATATAGAAAGTCGGATTATCTCATTTACCTAGCTTGTTATTTTGACGTTACTATTTTTTTCTTCGGGGCGCGTGACGATTGAGTTAGTCTCCCCGCGCTTAGAACAAAGAACGAAGCGATAAATGAAAAACACTAAAGTATAAACTTATTAGGTATATTATCTCTTGCGATATGTCTATATATATTATTATTATATGCGTCTCTGTGTTCTGTTACAATATTTGTACAATCCGCTGTACACCATCGATACGAAGAAAAAGATCTTCTCTGGGACTGATAATAAAGTTCAGAGTATTTACTACCTGAAAAAATCTGGAAAAACCTAGAATTTTCAGGGAATATTTTTGCTCTTGAAAATCAAGAATTTTCACGAAACTTTTTATCGGTATTCATGGAAATTTTTGAAATTTTACTTTTAAATTTAAATTCCATTTTTTTAAGAACAGTGTTTTTTTGATTATTTTTTCTTGATAATACACAAAAAATGTCGATAATTATAATTATATATTAA